CCCCAGCGTGGCGAGGGGTTAGGCCATGGAGGACCCCAGCGCGGTGAGGGGTTAGACCGCAGCAGGCCCCTGCGTGGCGAGGGGTTAGGCCACGGAGCACCCCAGCGCGGTGAGGGGTTAGACCGCAGGGGCCCCCAGCGTGGCGAGGAGTTAGGCCACAAGGGCCCCCGGCGCGGTGAGGGGTTAGACCGCGCCGACCCCCAGCGTGGCGATGGGGTTAGGCCACGGCAGACCCCAGCGCGGTGAGGGGTTAGACCGCAGCAGGCCCCCGCGTGGCGAGGGGTCAGGCCCCGGATGGCCCCAGCGCGGTGAGGGGCCAGACCGCAGCGTGCCCCAGCGTGGCGAGGGGTTAGGCCACTCAGGACCCCTGCGCGGCGAGGGGGTAGGCCGCAGAGGACCCCAGCGTGGCGAGGGGTTAGGCCACAGCCCAGCGCGGTCCCAGGACCAGCGCAGAGCCGAGGAGCGGCAGCAGCCGTCCATCAGGCTGCTCCTCGGGCTCTGAGCGCGAGGCGGCAGCATTTTTGTCAGTCTGCCGCCGCTCGAAGGGAGACTCAAGGAGTCAGCAGTGAGGCGGCAGCAAATAGCCGTGTGATGAGGCCGCTGGCCCACCCCGCTCGGGCGCGTCGCCTGCGCGGGGTGCCGAGACCAGGGGCACCCACTCACGGGCGAGAGCACGCGGGTTTAAACTCCTCCTGCTCCTTCTCCTCCTCCTCCTCCTCCTCCTCCTCCTCCTCCCCCCTCCCCCCTCCCTCCTCCTCCCCCTTCCTCCTCTTCTTCCTGCTCCTCCTGCTCCTCCTCCTCAGGGTCGCCCAGCGCCGCAGAAGGTGGTCCACAGACCTCTGGCTACTCCGGGCCCTCATCCTGCTCCTCGGGGGAGTAGGGGGAGGCGGAGGAAGCGGATGATGCTGATGATGATGATGGCGATGATGATGAATATGCTGATGCTGCGGCTGATGATGATGATGATGCTGCTGCTGCTGATGATGCTTATGGTGGTGATGATGGTGATGCTGATGATGCTGCTGCTGATGATGAGGATGGTGGTAGTGATGGTGGTGATGGTGATGGTTATGGCAATGGTGGTGGTGGTGTAGGTGATTATGATGATGCTGATGATGATGATAATGATGAGGGGGAGGACCCTTACAAACCAAGGGCGCCTCAACAATGTTGCAATGATCCCTTCCTCAAAGTTCCCTTATTTTCATTGCGGGAGATGTCCCGTTGGAAGACAACCGTTTGAGAATCCGCAATCGCGCCGAAGCGCCATTCCTGGGACTTTATCGCTGCGGACCAACTTGTCTGCTGCATCCTGACTTTCCCAAATCGCACCAGAACGCCATTCCTGGGACTTTAACTTCGCGAATCAACGGGACTGTTAAGTCCTGGCAATCCTCAAGCGTGCGGGGAAACCATTCCAGGGACTTTAACAATAGGAGCCATTGAACTTGTTGTAATTTCAAGACAAAGGTGTGTGGCGCGAAGGCGAACGCCAAGTTGTAAAAAAAAAACCGCCTTCCATCTTTGCAGTGTTACAAGCTTTTGGGACGAATGTGCGCGGCGCTACGTCGAGAAACACAGTTTGAAAACCACCCACCCTCCATCCTAGATGCTGCTGAGAACTTTGAAAACGTATGTGCGCGACGCTTAGGCGAGAGCCACATGTTGAAAACGGCCCGCCCTCCATCCGTGAAGCCGTTGCAGCTTTCAAGCTCCAGGATCATAAGCAGTGAGGAAGTCCTAGGCTTAACGCCCATGTCCGCCTACCAACACGTCTGGGTGTGTGACAGGGAGAAGTTTTTTGGCAAGGAAAAGAGATGGATGATTAGGAGGAAGAGAGACAGGATGATGATGATGGTGATGATGCTGATGCTGATGATGCTGATGATAATGATGATGATGACGATGATGATGATGATGATGATGATGATGATGATGATGATGATGATGATGATGATGATGATGATGATGATGATGATGATGATGATGAGGAGCAGGAGGAGGAGGAGGAGGAGGAGGAGGCGGAGGGGGCAGGAGGAGGAGGAGGAGGAGGAGGAGGAGGATTGAGGAGGTGGAGCAGGAGGAGCAGGAGGAGGAGGAGGAGGAGGAGGAGGAGGAGGAGGAGGAAGAGGAGGAGGAGGAGGAGGGTCGGTTCGGAAGTCCTCGAGGGCGTGAGTCAAGCTCATAATTGCTGGGCGGGTGCCGCCTCCAATGCAAGCAGCAGCGGAAATTGGCCCATTGAGGGCCCAGGAGCGCGGGCCGCTTCAGGGCCAGCAGACCAAGTGCAACGCGCACAACATTGGGGTCGCAATAAGCCCCGACTGTATTGACTGATCGCTCTTCCCCCCCCCCCCTGCGCCTCCCGCCCACCTCCTCGTGCACGGCCAAGGGGCCGTGCACGGTGCCCCCGACCACGAATGCGGGCGCGGGCGCGGCGGGGGTGGGGGGAGGGACAGAGAGGGCACGAAAGCGAGGGCCAGCAATGGCATATTAGAGGATTATTCATACAAACCCTCCCATCCAGAATGCAAGGGTGATGGTCCAACGTAACAGGAATAAGCAGTGCTGCTCCCAGAGGCACGCGAGGCACAGCGTCAGGCTGGAGGAGAAGAGCGGTATGAAACGCCGCTTTAAGCAAATTGAAGGCATGCAACGTCGCAAATGCAACGGCAACATGAAAAAACGACAAACATGGGACGAAGGGGGAGTCCCGAGGGAAAGAGCGCGAAGATGCTGCCCCTGATCGGACACGCAAGCTGGGGCATCTAGGATTGAAATCCCAATTCGAAACATGAACGTCCATCGACCATTTCCGAAACGGTAATCAATGTTGACACCGATTAATGAGCGAAATATTGTGGAGCGCGAAGAGGGAGTTCCCTTGGAGAAGGGAACAGGAAGACCAGGACAAGCGCAGTCTTTACACATAATCCTTTGCCGAGTTTGCATAACGTCGCTACTTCCCAAAGGCCGTCAAATGCGCGCTTGCCACAAAAGTGCACTGCATCATATCTGAAGGCTTACACTGCAAGTAGTGGTAATGACTACCGCGACTTCTAGTGAGGGGACAACAGGTTTTTCTGACACGGGCTACAGGTCGGCGGTGCCACAGGTGATACGTTCATCTAAGCTGGCTTGTTCTTCTTGTGCGGGCCTGTGACCAGTCTACTTCAAGAACGTCAGCTGGAGGAAGAGGAGGACGTTAATCTTGAGGGAGCGTGGCATATTCGCAAGCATTGGCAAAAAAAGCCCAGCCAAGGGGGCCTGACGAAGTGCGTTGAAGCCGCCTTCCAGTCTGTCGTGGGAACTGCTTTCAAGAGAGTGTGCAGAAGAAACGCTAACGCCCTCCTCCCTTCCAGGGCTAAGGGGCTTAGCGGTGGACGCACGGAACGAGGAGAAAGTGCACCGTCATCCCTACGGAATTGAAACTCGCCATCAACCTTTCTATGAAGATACTTTGCCAACTTGCCGAGAAAACGCTGAGGGGACCTGGGGCGCGATTGGGGGAGTCCCGCTGGGACAGTCGAGGGTTCGGTATGTGTGCAAGGCCCACCAGCAAGGCTCTGAGCCAGACGCAACCCCGTCCCTTGGCCAGTCTCAGGATGAACGTGATGCTCCTGCTGGTCGGGCTGTACCTGAGCACACTGTCCAACACGGCCTGAGCCATTAGGAGGCTGGATGCCAAGCTGCCCACGTGGTGCCACCGGAACCGCGCTCGGCCACGCCTTCGTGCTCGAGTTGTTCAGAGGAGTAGGAACTGGCAGAACTGGTGGTACAAGTAACGCAGAATCGATAGGCAACGGGGAAAGAAGAAGTACACCACTAGTCGACTCCCCACTGAAGATGAGCCCTGTGATGCAGATGTGTTGTTGCCTGCTGATCACGAAGTGGCGGTGGCGGAGGTGTAGGCAAACAATCCCCCGAGGGCCAATAAACAAGAAGAACAAATGTCAGACTGTCTGTCGCGGTCGCCTTTCAATAGGTTGACGCGCTAGGTACCGTACGCCGAACTAGATGTAGAGACTATGAAGAGGGGAAGGACCCGAGACGGGAATTCGGAAATGGCGGGCAGCGCGCACGGAGCCTTAGGAGGAGGAGGAGGGGGAGGAGGAGGAGGAGGAGGAGGAGGAGGAGGAGGAGGAGAGGAGGAGGAGGAGGAGGAGGAGGAGGAGGAGGAGGTGGTGAAGGAGGAGGAGGAGGCGGAGGAGGAGGATTATCCCCCCCTGCCCCTCCGCAGAAGGCATCTAGACAACATCACCACCTCCCCGGCTCTGTCCAGGGATACGGTGACGGTGGTGTGCAACTGCCGTTTCGTTCCCCCCCCTCCTCCCCCTTTCCCCCCTCGTCTTACGTATCTGTTCAGTGGGCCAGCAGCTGCAGCGGGTGTGCCTGAGCGACCGATTGTCCCTTCCCCTCTCCACCTTCCTGCTCCCTGCTCCTTGTTCCCTCGTTACCCTTTACCCTCCCCCCTTTCTCCCTCCCCTCCCCCCTCCCCACTTCCTCTGTCCCCCTTCTCCCGTCTCCGTCCATCCTCCTCCCGCTCCCCCCTTCCCTCTCCTCTCTCCTTCCTCCTCCTCCTCCTCCTCCTCCTCCTCCTCCTCCTCCTCCTCCTCCTCCTCCTCCTCCCTCCTCTCCTCCTCCTCCCTCCTCCCCCTCCTTCATCCCCTCCCCTCGCCCTCCCCCCGCCTTCACTCCGCCCGCTTGTCCGTGGAGCGGGGCAGACACTCTGCGCTCCCGCCTCCCCAAAAAGGGCGCCTCCGAGACGGCCGGAGCCGAACGAGTCAATGACCGTCAGCGAGCGGCGGAGCCGCTTCCTGGGGTGCTCACCACCCACCAAACCACCCCAACCCAACCCGAAGGCCTCAAATTGACCTCCATTTCCAGTGGGGGGGGGGTCGGGGAACATCGAGAAAACACATGTGGAACCCGTACCCCCCCCAACCCGAAATTCGGGTCAAATTCGGGTTTTCGGGTTGGGTTGGGGTGGTCTGGTAGGTAGT